AGGCATTGATATGCGCGACGCACTGATAAACCACGTTATACAAAATTCAAAATATTATAAAAGTCTTAATAACTTTTCAACAAAAATACTTAATAAGTTTGATATTTTTATATAATATTTGAAGATTCAGAATTATAGGGAAATAATTTATATTAAATAATCTTATAAGAATAATCTTTTATTAAGAATAATAAAAATTTGTCTTATAAATTTGTATACAAAAAGATATTATATTTAATAAAAGATTATTTGTATAAAATTATTAAAAACAAATTAATTCTCTATAATCCTGAATCTTCAAGTAATATATTAAAATTTGAAATATTTTTATTATTATTTTTATTGAAAAGCTATTAGGATTCTTTGAATATTTTGATTTTGTATATGATTTGTATACAAAATAAAATTTCATATTTCAAGCTTCAATAACTTTTAATATAAAATTGTGAAAAATCTGAAAATCTGTACCTGAGCTAATAACTATATAAAGAATCTGTATTTAAAATTTCATTCAATTTCATCGATTAATTAAAAAGTTATAAAAATGAAAAATGACTGTTTTTGGTGTAAAAGGGTGGTCCATAAGTAGGGTAGTTGACTTATACAATTATATAAACCCTCGTATCATGTGAATGTGCGTGCTTCGTGTTTGTAACACGATCTTCGACTATCGGGGTTGTGCAAACAAGTAGATTAGAAAGCCATGACTAATCACTTCACAACCACAAGCTAGTCATCGGCTCGATTACGCGACCCCTTTTCCCCACAGCTTACTTTCACGGCATTCAGGAGGTGATTCAGCTAGGGATGGAAACTTAATATGATGGTCATTACAAGTAACATCGTGTTGCGTTATATGTCCGACGAGTTTAATAAGTCGTATCGTTATATCAACCTTAGGAAATACAAATTTAGATTTTCTATCATTTGATAATATTGAAGTACATACAGTAGTTTACATGATATTAAGCATATAGTCCAAAGTATTCAGAATGTAAGATCATATATATACTAAGTATAACAGGAAAATATGAGTAATGTGATATGAAATGACTAGATTTCACAACCCTAATTGAACCTGCACTCCAGGACACACACATCGCAAAATGCGACTCCTAACTACCAAACCTCTCATCTATGCTATAGCCCTCATACAACTAACCCAGCGTATCAAAACATCTCGCCATTGGTCCCCTTCATCCAATCACCGTTCGTCACCACTACAGGTCATGAACAATCCCCTCATCTCAACCGTACCAACATAGTACAGCACATAGAATAGGTACATAACAACACAACCGTACTGAAAACACTAGTGCTGTAGCGATAACTGTAGCTGTTCTGTATCTGTTCTCCAATGCACTTAAATACCTTGGCTTCTGCTGGATTGGATTTAGGTTTTTGATCTCTTCTACATCACATTCTCAAACTGATAGCTTCTTGTAACTCTTCATACGAAAACAAAACAATCTGTCAAGAACAAGAACATCACAAGACTTCTTCATCAGAACTTCATACCAAACTAACATTTTCACTCGCATAACTTCTTCAACTCGACACTATCAAGTTCTCGTTCTCGGACATCAATCTCAAGATGTCTGCAACATCAGTTATCTCCACCATCCCCATCACATCAGCCAGGAACGACGTTGACGACACTAAATCTATACTCAGACTACCCTCCGAATACGCCGACACTCTTCCTACAAATCATGATGGACCTGCCCAGAGACCTGCCCAGATCGATCCACACTTCACCATGTGGGTTGAAATCGCACAGGCGCTTGGTGTCCCCACTACACCTTCTCATCCCCTTACCGCCGATGCCTTATTCGAGCTTGCAGCTGCGAATACCATGGCACAGTCTGAAGATGCGACAACAAGTGAACTGGCCAGGCATCAAAGCGCACTATTCCTACACAGAATATTCAAATGGATTAATTCTGGCGCGTTGGAAGGTGGTATTGATGGTAATACGAATGGCGCACCATTTATCTACCCGCTATCTTCGTTTTGGGGTTCGGATGCATCTGAAACTTGGTCTTTTGAGATCTTGGAGAGATACTGGCAGAACGAGCCAGTTCGATTTAGGAGTGTATTGGGATAGGCTCAGGAGGCTGAGGGAAGTGTGGGAAGTTGTCATACTCTTTCTCCGGATGTGTATGACTTTTGTCAGGACGATGAGCAGATCATCCATCGATCGATCAGTGTTCCAGAATCGGAGTCATCAGGTTCACCAGAGCCATCTGACGCATCAGAAGATGAGGACGAGGATGGTGGAGTTCTGATCGATACAACATCAAGTTCAGACGGTCAAAATCAAATGGTCTTTGATTTGTTTCGCACTCGAGAACTCCAACGACTCGTGATGGGTGACTCACCTATTCTTTCTCGGATCGATCCAAATGTCTTCAGAACCAATGCTGGACCTGGAAAACATGCTCGGGCCAGAGCTTTGACTTTGACCGAGAGAATAGCTCAAGGCGCCAACCAAAGGCAAGAGGAGTTGCGGAATAAAATTTTCCCTGTTGTGCCGTTGCGGAATCAAGTATTTCCTGTTATCCCCACGGAACAACCGATCACAACTGAGGAGGTCCTTGATGGATACTATGAGCCGATTACGTTGGCTAATTTTCTGTGACATCCAGTGTCTGGAAATGATGTTGGGGCTCCTCAAGACTCAACCGGAGGTAATGATTCCGACAACCCATCTCCTCCCACCGGAGGGATGCGAAGACTCTCACCTGTACGTGGTGTATCCTACGAACCTTCGACCTAGTTTACTAGTGTTCGGAGAGCTAAGTAGAGTCGCTGGAGCTGGATAATAGTCATACACTTATCGAAGGCTTTTACTGATACTAAAGGTATTTGCAGTTGAGTACAACGAAAGCATTTGTGATGAATCTGAAACAGAGAACTACCAACGAAATAGAGATAAAAACCATTCAATGATGGAAGCTATAATCGATAAATTCAAAGCGGTGCCAGCCTTTACAAGTCTGTCGTAGAAAGCAGAGCCTGATAGGATACTCACTATGAGCCCCTGAAGCGGAACCAGCCTTTTCGAGTCTGCGTGGAAAGCAGAGCCTGCGAAGGAAACGATTGTATTGAAAATCGACAGAACACCTCTAAAACGTTATAGATTGATTCGGAATCTTATAACAAGTATAATATAAGAATATATCATATTGGAGATTATTATAGATAATTAGGGGAATAATGGTGTAAAACAGACAAAACGGAAAGCGACCCGACTATAATTCAACGAGGGATTTAGAAGGGCGGAAAGTGTCTGCAAAGGGTCCACGGAACACAAGGAACATTGCATATACTGAGAGAATGGTGTAAAGGTTTCTACGGATTTCAGAGAAACGCCCCATAAAAACGGGTTTAATAACGATATACAGGATTATAACTCCTTTCCGATTCTAATCCAATAAATTTTAAGTTTCCGCTTCGATTATTTTATACAACTACAAACTATATATTGGGAGGAAAAGAATACGAGAACGTTTTAATTAATAGATTGGAAATATTGTGATTATACTGCTTGATTAAGGATATAAACACAACAAGTTTACAAAATATAATCAATCTTGTAGAGAAAAGAGATCTAGTAAAATAATACGAACCAATATTTATGTACTGCGGGGTGTAGTATACAATAGTAACAATAATGATACTATTTGTATAGTTTGAAAAGATAGATACATGTATTGATTTATAATAAAATATTAGGTAATTAGTAAAGGAGATATTAGATAAACTTAAAAAGTAAATAAAGATAAAAACATAAAGCAAAGGTTTAGTATAGACCAGAGCCTCCGAAGATATTTATATAAAAAATAATTTATATGTAGTCAAAAGATTCTACAAAAGTTTAGTACTAGTGGCTTTATTATAGTGAACCAGAAAAGCATTTGTAGATGTAGCGAATCTACTTTGTATTATAATCTTATTCTAGTAAATAATTGTAATATAATCTATTTTTGCCTCTTTATCACCAGTCCTGTACATACTATACCTGGCGGAGTTACTCTCAGAAGACACCTCCCTCAGGTTCGGGTACATAAACGATATATGCCTTTACAGAGCAGTCAAAACCCTGGAAGAAAACACCAGACACCTCACTATAGATGTATAAGATGTCATAAGATAGGGAGCGAACAATTATATTGCCTTCACTTTGGAGAAGCTGGAAATGATCTATATCTCTATGGATAATAGCAATGCAGTATCTGCTATCAGGGTTAGTGAAGAACTTACAATCTACTTGATAGTGGCTATAGAAATAAATACTTGTTTAGTATTGAGATGGCTGGGAGTGTAGTTTGACAGAAAGCTGAATTTTCGTAGGTATATTACTGAATATGTAGATAAAGCCAGGGCAGTAACAAAGTATATCTGAAATCTGGTTAAAGTTATGTAAGGCCCTCTGGTGTATGCTATATGCAAGATAATAACGATATGTATATTACCCTCATTTTTATATAGGACTGAGGCCTGATACAGCGGCAGGTTTAAAACTGTACAAAGATTAAAAACAGGACAGATAAAGGTCAATGCCCACCTTGGCTGGTATGTGATATAAATCGAAAAGATCCTTACAATAGCAATACAAGGAGTTATACTAATCTAGAAAACTATATTAATGATTACCCTTTATTATAAAGCAGGTCTCTCTTTAGCTATAGCAGTCTTTGAGAAAGCTAAACTGAGGTTTGCTTTATATCTCTAAAGCGTAGATATAACCCACCTGTTTACAAAAAGAATTGAATTCTTTATAATTGTTAAAGGACGAGATACAGGTTTAAGATAAAAAGCAAAAATCAAAGTTTAACGATTTGATTTCTTTGTCCCCCCAATCCCAAGGCTTATACTCGAGTCATTACGGTATACAACTGGTTATTGAATAAATCCAATAAAAGGGATTAATAAGAAAACGGCTGCAAAGGCCTTTAATATTTGGTAGGAAAATCTGTTAGATATAGATATCACTATCTTTTCGGATAAATCGGAAAATCATATGAAAGGAAAACATATTATAGACTATAGGTATATAATATATCTAGGCAAAAACCAGATATTAGTGGGCTTTAGCTTTATCAATATCTAGTTTCATGTTTTTGATACAAAAGCTATCAGAGTATAGAAAGGTCTAGAATATATTTTTAAGGATATCAGGTATATCAATCAGAAAATCTGGATGTGTATTGATAGCATCTCAGTCATCTAGGGCATAAGAGCTAATGCCTTTATGTCATCACAATAAATATTTAACAAATACTATAAGGTTATGAAGAACCACAATATTTATATCAAGTGGTCACTGGGATATGAAAGTATCGAAGGAAACGAGATGACTGACTACCTTGCTGACCTAGGTGTTAAGAAAACTAGTTGGGATATTGGACCAGTATCCCAACTTATTTATAGTAGGGTAAGATCGATTATATATATCCTCAGAGAAGAGGTCTATTAGCAATAGTAGGAATTATACAAACTCGCCCTTTTGCTGTGATATAAACAGTAGAACCTGGTCTACAAGATCAAACCATTGTCAAAGCTTTTATTCCTATGAATAGTTTTATATAGATTGATAACTATCCGAATCTTATATAAAGACTTCGGATAGTATTACAGGAAATTTGGATATACAGGAGATACTGAATATATCTGCAAAAGATCCAAAACCCTGGTTTACCTAATCTATTACTGGAAGGCAAAGGCTATCTTTGAACAATAGCCGAATAAGCTTTTCATACTACTATCAACAAATGAAAAAGGAATCGATTATTTTCGACAAGTCTTAAACAATCCTATAGACTTTGTTAAACTATTAAAGCTAACGAAGTTCTATAAAGATATATATTCAAAGTAAAGGATCACAAATCTGTATTCTACACATACAATCTAAAAACCTGTAACAAACTATACCCACTACCAGGATCGATTTGTAATATACAATACAAACGAAACCCTAAACTTCCTTTACAGAGTGTATACAGAGAAATAACCTTATCAATAGGTATAAAAAACCTGATTAAATATTAACAAGATATACGAAAGCATATCTGAGAATGCTTCCCGGAGTATATCAAATATTCTAATCGTTACACCAAAAATAGTATACTGAATCATCAGAGCTTATACAATAGCAGGCCTATAATACAGGTACAACTGTTTATATCAAGCAAAACAATAGAACAATCTCAACTAGTGGAAAAGAGAATATACAAATTGGAAGGTAACACACGATTACTAGGAATAACTGTAAAGCTTTCACTTTTCTTTCTAAGACACTCTTATTTCATATATCGTAAAACTATAGTTTAGAATATTTGCATACCCCTAGGGAGGTTCTGAGGGCAGCCCTAAGCTGCTCTCCTGATGTAAAATAATACTATTACTACTACTACTACTCCTCCCACCGGAAATGATTCTGGCAATAGTGCTCCCTCAGGAGAAGATTCTGGTAATCCACCTCCTGCTGATGACGATACATCAGAATCAACATCTGACCAAACAAGTACCGGTAGACACAACTACACTCCCTCAATCCCACTTCCCGCCCTTCATCCTCGCATTCATTCTCACATAGATAATATCCCGGCAAGTTTCTCTATCTCGCGAGCCTTCACCCTCTGCAACTCCAAATTGCAAATCCACGCCCACACACCCGAGCGCATCGCCTCCGCCCTCGCCACACTCCCCACTCTCATCATCGAACTCCTCCCTCATCCAGAATTGTCACCATCCAAGGTCCTCCGCATCTCCAACGATAGAATCATCGACTTCTACGGACCGATGAGTAAACGACTCATGATCGGTATTTCTGGTATTCCTTCACAGATAAGAAATGGTATTAAGGAATATCCGAAGAGGAAAGAAGAGTGTGCAAAGCAAAAGGCTGAACAGTCTAAAGCAGGCAGAACCTCGAATACCAATAAGATTCCACTGAATATCGATCCAGATATGTTGACGCTTGAAGAGCAAATCTGGAAAGATGTCAAGGAGAATTTTTGGAAGAAGTGTTGGAGTGAGAAAAAGGATGACGGTGATGAGAATGATGATGGGGAAAAGTGAGGGGTAGTTATTACTCGGATTGCGGCAAGATCTGGTTTTAGGTTTTAGGTCTTTCTCATACTATTTACAAAATCAATAATACAAAATATAAAATAATGCACTGAACTTCCTCTATTAATATTCTATTTATATAAAATATACAAAAATTCTATAATTCACTTCTTTTCTAATATATCGTGGCTCTTTTTTTAAACTATATACTCAAAACTTAGAACTAATATTCTCTTATTCTTTACTCTTATAATACAAATATAAAATGTATAGTAGAAAAATAACTTTTAAATAAATCAAAAATATATTTGAATTAAGAATATTAATATATATGTGTTAGAAAGTCATGGGTATTACGGGTATTACGGCACTGCCCCTCTTCTGTATTCACTACTAGCATACATCTTGTTTACTTATACGCTCAATAATATAGCTTAGATTTTATATCTACATATAATCTATATACACTTCTGACAGGTTATAAAGCCCATATTATCGATATCTCTATACAATTTATAATATCAATCAATTTAACTTAAAATAAGATCTTTATTTTCCTCTTTGTCCTTTTTGTTTATATGTTCCTTAGTTCAACTAATTAATATGGTGTTGTCAAAACCCACTGATATTTCAAAACTGTAGCTAATACAAATTGGGGTATTATCATTATCTTTAATAGTAATAATTAGAATGAATTCTATAAATCATATCTAGGTATATTAGTTATTACTAATGCTCTAGTTATTATTCAAGAAAATAAAAAAGAATTAATTAATCCCTTCGATATATCTTATATTACAAATCTTTATGTTTATAAGAAGAAACGCAGAAATACCATCTCCATTATTAATTTTGTAATCAACTTTGTTTATTGCTTTGCTTTCGTTTCTTTTCTAACAATATATAATGTTATTAATATGTGAAATAAATTGAAGAAGTATAACTATACAGTTTATCCTTAGTATATTACTAAAATCAGAAAGTAATTTTATTTTAAGGACTTCGATCCAAAGATATAAACTTTACACCAATTCCTTAAATATCTCCTCAATTATCAAAACAAAACCTTTACTAGCGATAAAGTTATCAATAATCAAAAAGTTTATACGCAGTTTATGAACAAGATCTCTGAAATGGAAAGCTGGTAAACCCAAAGGAACTTTGTTATCAACTCTAATTAGTCACTTCAAAAAACTATGGTTATATTAACTATTGTAGAGAAACCCTACTTAGCGATTGCCAACTATGCTAAAGGCAAAAAACGTGGTGGAAATCGAGGCGAACGTAATCATAATAGAAAACATAGCAGATATTATAAAGGATCTGGCAGAAATAGAAAAGATTCAAATAACACTTCTAATAATAAAGTTGAAAAGGTTTTTGATTGATTGATTGATTGATTTAATTTACGTCCATCTTCAGTCTAAGACTATATAGGACGGCTAGACCCTATAGGCACTAGCAGATAACTTTTTATTTTACAAAAATAGATATGTTCGATTTGGGGAAGTGAAAACAAATGCTGGGGACCAATGCCCGCTTATTATACGCGTTGCATATAATAAGAAAATATGAATATCAAGGGTTATAAGAGGGTTACCCCTCTACCCTCTATTTCCTCCACTGCTACTTCTTCCTCTTCCACTACTGCTACTACTTCTTCCTCTTCTAC